TGGTGCCTAAGTTTGGGGGTGGGGGACAGCCATTAGACACAGCTGAGCCCTGGGCCGGGCTCTGGTGAGTGGGTCTCCTTTGCCCAGACAACATGAGAGCAAAAATGACACCTAAAAGCATGCAAACATTATCTAATTCTTGTCTCTGCTCCACCAAGGAGACAGAAGTACTGGAGGCTCAGAGAGGGCAAATCAATTATCCCAGGTCACACAGCCACAGAAACTCACTCAGTCTGTGCTCCTAGCTGCTGTCTCTCTCTGACTAACAGTTGGGAACTACCCAACTACTACTACGATGGACAAGCTTTCAACATTCGCAAGTTCAAAAGACAGAACCAGAAAAAAACGCTTTTCCTGGCTGCCAGAATGGGGGAAAAATTAAATTTGATCCTTAAAAGCCTCCACTCTCATTTGGCTAACTCGGGGAGTTATTGATTTCCTGAGAGGCCATGAAGCAGTAGGTAGAGAAAAGCAAAACAAAAACCAAAAAGCAAACAAAAAATGAAATCACCCCCAAACCAAAACCCAAACCAAAAACAAGCAAAAACCCTCTTTTATTTGATGATTGCAAGTCCCCTGAGTAGCTGCTCTTTGTGGTTCCTTGGGGACACTGATTGGGGTCCTTCTGCATGGCTTGTTCAAGGTGCTCGCCCATCCAGGGCTGGGGGTCGAGAGAGCCTCCCTCCTCCTCCAATGGGGTCCTTGGCTGCCCATTCTGCATCTTCCCTCAAGTATCCCCTGGTCACTCACCATGGTGTCTGGAGCTGGCTGCTGCCTCTGGGGAATTCGACGAACCTGCTGGCCCCACTCTGCAGTGGAACAATAAATACCTCTTCCCTGGTGTTAAAAATAACCCCATGACCACTTTTGGCAGTTGTAGGTGAGGCAGAGGCCACCTAAGCCCCCACCCCCCACCCCATGCCGTTCTTCTGAAGTAAGTCTCTTCACTGGCGGCTACCGCCTGGGTTGACACGTGAGACCCAAAAATGCCTTCAAGGTTAAAGAGACAGAGGCTGGGGCCTGGCCTGGGGAGTGATGCTGTGTGCTCTCTGCCACGCCTGTCATTGTCTAATGGAGAAAAAGGAACCCAGGAGGAGGAGGAGGAGGTGTCTCAAGTAGCCCAGGCTAGCCTTGAACTTGATATGTAGGCGAGCGTAGACTTAAACCCAAAGAATACAAAAAGGGAAATATAGGGTTTATTCTTACATTTCTTGCACTAAGGCTGGCCTTGGACTCACTACATAGCCGAGGTTAACTTTGGAACCATGATCCTTCTGCCGCCTCCTCTTGAGTACTGGGACAACAAAGATGAGATCTGGGCAGCCTTCGGAGGTGACTGTTAGTCATTTCCTTCTGAGGTCAAGATGGTCTCCATCTATGGGGCACAAATATGTGGCCACATATTGCTACTAGAAAGGAGGAGGACACTGGAGAGATGGCTCAGCAGTTAAGAACACTGGCTGTTTACAGAGGACCTGGGTTCAATTCCCAGCAACCACAAGTCAGCTCACACCTGTCTGTAACTCCAGTTCCAGGGGATCTGATGCCCTCACACAGGCATACATTGCAAAGGAGAAAAAGAAAAGAAAGGGGAGGTAGGAAGGCAGGGAAAGGAACTGACACACACTTGTTACCCCAGCACCCAGGATGTTGAGGCAGGAGGATCAGGAGTTCATGGTCATCCTTGGTTACACATTGAGTTCAAGTTCAAGGCCAGCCTGGTCTACATGACTGTCAACAACACGAAACACAACCAACTGAATGAAACCCCACTCCCCTGACTTCTGGAGATTCTGTGGAGGCGCATGTGACTGGCCAGGAGATGTGGTAGCTGAGAAAAGAGGCTGCCCACAATGGTGTGTGAGGGTAAAGGTTGGGGTTAGGAGTGACCTGTCCCTGTGAACCCCTTCTCCACTGAGCTGTCTGAGGAGCCGGCTCAGGTTGCTGTGTGAGAAACCTTTTGGTGATCTGAGGGTTCAGAACCTCAGCCTCCATGGATCTCCACAGCCTGTGTCTTCTGGTAAACATGGATGTGCTAACTGCCACTTGGGCTGTTGGACTCAGTAAAGGAGACCAGAGGATTCTGGGGTCATGGTATCCCAGCTAGGGCACAGAACCACAGAACCACAAGGATTCCGAACTCCGAGTCAGAGGCCAGGTCCTTGAAGGAGGCTGCTGGGGAGACCCGGGTTGGCTCCACGAAGGGGACTCAGCTCCCTCCTCGAAGTTCATGGTGGAGGGGCACAGGGGCTGCCACTGCTCTGTCCCTAGGCTCTCAGGTGACACCCACCCTGTGGCCCCAAGCTCTCACTGCTTGTGAGATTTCTGCAGCCTAGTTTTCAAGACCCACAGAGAACCGGGACACACACAATTCCCTCCCCTGAGTGGAACTGTCAGAGCCTCCAGAACAATTGAGAACAAAGCGAGGGTGTCGCTTTCTCACTGCCCTTTACAGACAGACAATGGTAAACCCAGTGCCCAGAGCAGCCAAGCTTGCTACCTGGCAGGGTTGGTGGTCAGAAATAGAAATCGGGCAGAGGGCTATGTCCCGCTGTGGATGTGGGGACAGTCCCTTCCTTACCCCTTCCAGCTCCTGACAGCTGCCGGCATTCCTGGGCTTACATCCCCATCAGTGTGGCCTCTGTCTGGCTGTTCAGTGTCCCACAAGGTAGTCATAACAATTACTCTCAAATGTGTTTAAATGCATGAAAAAATACACACCAAAGAACAGAAGGAAAATATGTCCTGCCCCTCAAAAGAAAGAAAGGCCAATACTATTGAAGGTATGTATCTGCATCCATTCGGGGTGGGGAGGTGGCTCAGCATGAGGTCCCGAATTCTACCTCAGAAATCCAGATAAAACCCAGCATGGGTGGTAAGGGCCTGAAAGACCATCATAGGGGAGGTGGGGACAGAAAGATTTCTCTGGCTCATCCAGATAAAAGCCAAGCATTGGTGGTACGGGTCTGAAAGACCATCACAGGGGAGGGAGGTGGGGACAGAAAGATTTCTCTGGCTCACTGGCCCAGCAAGTGTAACCTAAAAATAGTGAGTCCCAGGCCTCAGTGAGAGACCTGTCTCAAAAAATAAGATGGATGGCCTCTAAGAAATGATCCCCAAGGTTGACTTCTGACCTCTGCAGGCACACACAGGAAGAAATTGCAGCCAGCCTACCCAAGCCGCAGTCACCCTGCCTGTGTGCCCAGGCCAGCCTGCATGAACACAGGCAAGCATGGGCGCAGCAGGCACTTCCTCCCTGAGCCAAGCCGCCAACCCTGCCTCAATGTCGAGAGACTGCGGACGGGAGACACCTGACCCAGAGACACCAATAAGAAAAGGACAGCGCAGCAGAGTCAGCCGTCTGAGCCAATAGGACCTGGAGAGGGTGTATAGAGGCAGGCCTACCTTTTTTTTTTTTAATATATTTTTATTTTAGTAATGTTTTATTTTTTAGATTTTATTTATTTATTATGTATACAGTATTCTGCTTCCATGTATATCTGCACACCAGAAGAGGGCACCAGATCTCATAACGGATGGTTGTGAGCCACCATGTGGTTGCTGGGAATTGAACTCAGGACCTCTGGAAGAGCAGTTGGTGCCTCTGAGCCATCTCTGCAGCCCAGGCCTACCTTCTTAATAAAGGAAGTGTGCAGCCTGCTCTGCTACTCACTGACTCCCAGTGCCTGAGTTGTTGGTGCTGCATTTTCTCACCCCCTTCCCCAAGAGGTGTCCGAGCAGGGTCACCTGAAACCCATAAGTACCTGAACCTGCGTGTGAGCACACATACGAGTGCATACGTGTGCACACTGCAGGCGCGCGCACGAGTGCCTGTGTGTGTGTGTGTGTGTGTGTGTGTGTGTACACAAAAATAATAACCCATTGACAGTTTTAAGAGACGAGAAGAAAATGTAGGTCATTTATAAACACAAAAATGATTTTATCCCTACTTTAAGGACTTAAGTATTTATTGGAGCCCTACTGTGTGCTGGATCTGGTGTACTCCTGGAGTCAGGGGACACTGGGGTTTAGATGTTTCTCCCTGAAGCTCCTGGATTGGGAGTTTAGTCCCCAAGTCCACATTTGGCAGTGCCCGGGGGGGGGTGTCTGTGAGGTGTGACTGAGATTAGATGAGGTAACAAGGATGCCCCCCCAACCCCCGAGCCTCAGGTGGGATTAGTGACTTAGTAAGAGGAAAAGAGACTAGTAAACTCTCTGCCCTCAGCAGCCTCCAGCCTTTGGAGCAATAAATCGCTTGTGTTTGCAAACGATCCAGCCTCTGGTGCTGTGTTATAGTAACACCGATAATTAACTCAGCACTCAGCAGAGATGAACTTTGAGAATCTCAGGTTGTGTGCCCAACTTTTCAGAGTATAATAGGGATGTGTGCCCAACTGTTTTCAGTATAACACAGTAGGAAGGAATACCATGTATTTTCTGTTTTGTTTTTGTTTTTTTGTATTTTATGTTGTATCTCACATAGCCCAGGCTGCGATTGTGTAGCAGAGATGACCTTGACTTCCTGATCTTCCTGTCTTCGTCTCCTAGGTGCTGAGTTGATCCATTAAATACCTTTGCTTTTAAAAGCCTAAGTTTTGATTTATTCCTCTAATGAAGCAAAGAATCAAACCAAATAACCCCAATGCCAAACCTCAGGGAAATTCACATAAAACTCAGAAGTGACCAGATGAAGCCAAGTCTTTGCCTCTGTACTAAAGGTGGAGAAGTGGGTTACAGGACCCGCTAGTTCCAGCTTTAATCCCGATACTAGGCTGGAAAAAAATGTTTTGAGCCGGTGTTGGTGGTGCACGCCTTTAATCCCAGCACTCAGGAGGCAGAGGCAGGTGGATATCTGTGAGTTCCAAGCCAGCATGGTCTACAGAGTGAGTTTGGGACAACCAGGGCTAAACAAAGAAACCCTGTTTCAAAAACCAAAAAACAAAATGTTTCCTTGGCACAAAATGATGTACTCATGGTGGTTCTGGTTGTGGGGACGTCAG